GCCTACGCTGATACCGTGTCCCGCTGGCACGTCGCTCGTTCGCCACACTGGCACGGGTTCTTCGCAGTCCATCAGTGCTGCTGAAGCCGCCTACATTTCTTCTCGGAAATCCCAGGTTCTTCCGTCCGCATGGGCTACATACATCGGTAACGTCCAAGCGAACATAGCGAGTTCCAATGCTTCATCTCTGCCTGCCTACGTTTCTGAAATTCTGAACGGATCCGACGAGACCTACCCCACGCTCGGAATAGCTACAAGTGGAGGTGGCTACCGCGCTGCGATTGTCGGAGCGGGTGTGTTGAACGCGCTTGATGGCCGCAACTATTCCTCCATAGCGGCGGGCACTGGAGGCCTCCTTCAGAGCGCTTCATATCTATCCGGGCTGTCCGGAGGCTCGTGGCTTGTAACTTCCCTTGCCCAGGCCGACTTCCCCACCTTCCCTGACCTCATTTTTGGTCCTCCAAACGCAAGTTCGAATGCATTTGGAGGCTGGCTCGCACAGTTGTCACTCCTTGCGCCCAGCTCGGAATCGCTTGTCGAGATAGCCTACGTCGAGGACATCATACTAGAGGTCTCTGGAAAACTGGCTGCAGGCTTTCCTGTCAGCATTGCGGATGTGTGGGCTCGCGTTTTATCCAGGCATTTTGTGAACGGGACGAGCGCTGACAACTTCTTCGATTCCAATCTGACGCACGGTGCGGGAATCACATTCTCGTCCATCGCAAACGTGTGAGTTTCTATAGTCCTTCATGCCTCGCTGCTGAAGTATTAACGCCTCGTCGTCAGCTCAACTTTCGTATCTTATCAGATGCCGTTCCCTATTATTATTACGGATTCTGTTTCTCTTGATGGGAATGGTTCTACATACCTTCCAGGTGCAGACGTACCCCTCATAAACCCAATCTACGAGTTAAATGTCTGTGCGTATCGTTTAACGGATTCATCGAGAAATAACTCTCAAACGCTTCTGTGTCACTCAATTTGGGCGAATAGATGAAATGGGGTCATTTGATCCCACATTGGCGGCGTTTACCCCCATGGAGTACTTGGGCTCTCCCAACGCTACCGTATGCGCGACAGGATTCGATCAGGCTTGCTTTATGACTGGGATGTCGTCAAACGTATTTTATGGGCTGAACATAACCGTACATCTTTAACCCATTTTACACACCCAGTCAGTATCTGATGATATTGTAGTCTGCACTCCCCCCAGTGTTGGCTCCCATTCTGAATTTCCTCGCTGAGGTTACCGCAAACCTGACCGACAACGGAACTACACTCCTACCGCTGGACACGGCTCGCGTGCCAAACCCGTTCTATGGCTTGGAGGCTGGAACATTCATTGATAGTAATGAGACGGTGCTCTCGCTTGTTGACGGCGGCGACGATGGCATTGGCACGCCGTATACGCCGCTTGCGGTGAGAGCCCGAGGAATTGATGTAATCCTGGGAATAGATGTGGTAAGAATCTAGATTCTCATCTCAACTGGTTTGTAACACCATGTCCACCATGTTCTAGGATCCCGACAACGCTGATAATTGGGCTGCTGGGACTGCATTGATTGTACGTTGGTCCACCATGCTCGACTAGCAGCCTGAGCTGATCTACGCGCTTCAGGGCATGCAAGATCGTGTGTCCTACTTCCCCTCGGCTTATTCATTCCCTCCGGTCCCAACGTCCACTTCCATCATGATCTCTCAGAATCTGACGAAGCGCCCCACGTTCTTTGGATGCAACTCAACCGCCGATTCTTCTGCGCCGATCCTTATTTACATTGCGAATGGGGGACCGCCGCTTGGTCTCCCGCCGCTCACCAACACGTCTTCCGACCAGATAACATACTCGGCCGATCAGATCGACGGTATGCTCTCGGAAGCTTTCGATCTTGCAACACAGGGGATACCCGCCGAAATCGATGGAGCGTTGGAAAAGGACCCTGACTGGCCAGCGTGCTTGGCATGTGCAGTAGTAGATCGCACGCGGAACCGATTGGGGATAGAGAGGAGTGGTGTTTGCTCCCAGTGCATGGAGAGATATTGTTGGAGTTGAAAATTCGCGCACACCCATTCAGGATTAGGTTATATTACCACTAGTAGTCGTAGAATCCACCACTATCGACTCACGGCCAGTAACATCTTCGAATGTTGCAATTTCAAATTCACTACACATAAATGATCTCCGTAATTGACCTATGATTTTGTATCTTCTCGTAATCGCATACAATAGAGACGGTGCTTTGATCAGATTTCAGTAGGACGGCTCTGAGCAACTGGCATGCTGTTGGCGAGTCAGTGGAGACAACCAAAATCATAGCGATCACGCCCAACGGGCTCGAAGCTCCGCCCGTTCTTGTCCAAGATTTTCAATCTCCTTCAAATCGACAACCTTGAACACCCACGTCAATGCGTTCCCACCACTTCTCATCGACGGTAGGTGCATGTCATCAAGGAGTCGGTCAACCAATTGCGGCCAGCTACGAAGTGCCAGTCAGACAGAGCCGTCGATACGAAGCGGAAGACCCTAACCTTAAAAACGCGAGGTCGGCACTGTAGCTCGGGTTGACCGTGAACTGGGCGTACGGGAACCTTTTACGCAGCCAAGCAGCATTTTTCTCGGCCGCCGCAAGAGCTTCCTCTGTGGACGACGGGAGACGTAGAAACGGATCTTTACGGAAATACGAGGAGATCCAGTGCGCCCCGACTTCAAACACATAGCCGTTGTTTACAGTGAACTGTAAAACACAATTCTGCGAATACACGGATTGAGATGTGTCACACGCACTCACAATTGCACCGTTAATGGCGAAGTCTCTTTGGGTAATACTCTTTGCGGGTACAAGTCCTCGATATATGGAGGACGTAGAACCAGAATCCAGGCTCACATGAGGAAAGAAGGCAGGCGGCCTAGCTAAAGATTTATGCTCCCAGTGATGACGATCCTCAAGAGACCCAGGCTCAGGCCGATGGAATCCAATTTCATCCATTGTGTCCTCTGCATCGAAGTTGGGGAGCAATTTTTGACGCAGTCATACGAAAACTCACTATCCAATAACTTGTCCCAAGACGATGCAAAACCGGTGCATAAAATAACAGCGTCCGCTTTGATAAGTCGCCCATTGCTCAAAATTAGCGATCGGCCATCATTTGCAAAACCTTCAACGTGCAGCGGGGCCACTAGATCAATCAGTCCCTTGTTTACCAAAGAATGAAACCCGTTCTCGTCGAGCCCAATATCGCTCGTGTGCACGGTCCACATCAAGTCAGGTGTATTACGCAAAGGTGAATTGGACGAAATTCCTAAGGTTTTGAACTAGCGACCGATTTACTCGGAGGGACTCGAGAAGAAACGATAGGATAGATCGCACCGAAACCCAGGACAACAAATTCCAGGTGGTCTGGACAATCTTGCTCCCGAGCCATGTAGTATGAAGAAAACGCCTAAGTGAAAGGCGTTATGATGTTCATTTCCAAAATGTAGGACACACTTACTCAAGACGAGTGCGAAGTTCGATGTCTGGAGATAAAATAGCAAGTAGCCTAATCCAGCGTTAAGAATATGCTCAATAAGTTGAGAACGCAGTCGTACCTGCTTCTACGTATAAAATCGGGATAGGGTATCGGGAATGCTAATATTGCATCCGCCCTTTTGAATACCATTGACACCCGACGTCCTTGAAGAGCGAGATACGCTGCCATGCTGATCAATGAACAGTGAGAAAGAAACCAATAGAAAGAGGTAATCAGTGTACTCTTCCGCAGATTTTCCACCTCCGACAATGACAATAGAGCTGCCGCTTTGCTCGAACGAAGGTTTGACAGCTTCGAGAACGTCGGCAAGCCGAGCACGAAACTCGGAGGAATGAATGACCGGTCCGCCAAAACCCTTCAGAATTGCATTCGATGATGACAACTGAGGTGGAATATAGGGTTCGCTACAGCCCTATGATAGTTTCGCTGTCATCGGGAGAAAATAAATTAGAAAGAGTGTTGTACTTGCCCCCGAGCAAAGCACCAGCTTATCATACTCGAGTGTCTCCCGTCGCCCTGTCTTTATGTCCACCAACGAGACAAGCCACCTACGAGTCACAGACGAGCCACGCTCAATAGGCTGTATCTTCACGACCTCAGTAGAGTATCTGATGCAGCCCTGCAAAAACCGCCCCGCAAAGTCCTGCATATACGCGCACATGTCCTCTCCTGATAAGCGTCCGCTTTTATGCGTCGGAAGCGGCATCGTCAGCGAAGAGAATCGGAATTCGCCGTGCACACTGATGGGCAGTGTTGTATAGTCAGCTCCCAGAGGTCAAGAACAATCACTTACTTGTTAATAACAAGCCCTGGATAGACCCTCTCAGCACACCAGACGCCTCCTACACTAGGATCTCGGGTAATCACTTCTACATTCTGGAATCCGTCCTGGCGAAGAGTATGTGCGGTAATAAGACCGGCCGCGCCTGCACCAACGATGCAGACCTTGTCGTCGAAGAATGTCACCATAATAGTTCAAGGTGCAGGATTTTTGCTAATCGGTCGCAGTCTGCCGGAGCATCCCCACCCTTTATATATCTGTGCTGGCGTCTTCGATTGATCGAAGCAGGATCCCGCTGGCAAATCTGTCCAGTCGCTGCGCGAGTTGAGGAGCCTCCAGTGCCTTCGAACAATAACCTGACATTGTCGACCTGCAAGCCTTACTGACGTCTTGTTAGCGAGAATCTATAGTTCTACGCGGATACCGCTGGGCGGAAAGTGCTCCAACATGCATAGCAAAGAAATGTTACATTTCCCCAGCGAGGAAAGGTCCATGTTGCAAGAGGGGAAAAGCTTTTTCAATTTAGTTAGCACTTTTCCGATGCCTTTCCAGTGCCTTACCATTACAATTAAACGGTGAGTTCTTTGTGATGATGAGAATTGCAGCCTTTCTTCGAATTCGCGCTTGCACACATACTGTCCGTATGGTCTTGATCGCCGGTCGCAGTTGGTGCAACGGTGAGGCTTGATGAGCGCATCAGCAGAGGCGATTCAAGAAACGTTTGAAATGTGAAATCTTGAGACCGAGCAGCGAAATGAGCGTTGAGTAGAGGGTAGTGAGCGAGGAACGCGGCGTCACGAAATATCTCAAGTTCTATGCTCAGCTCGAGTATCCTAGATAAGTATCCTTATTGGCTTATCATAAAACGATGTCATGTATTTGAATGACATACAGCTTCACGCAAGTTTAAATCGACAACAATTATTAGCAACCATTATTATAATCATACTGGATTTCAATTTGTTGAGACATCTGCGCGCCTTGCCCCCTTCCTCTTCCGAAGACTACATCCGCGTAGCAGAATGAAGGACAGTCCGTTCTTGATGCAGTTTGCTATAGACCGGGAAATGGCGTCAGATTCCTGTTATATTGAACGGACTTCGGCTACCATCGCAACCTACTAGCGCTGATCCGACACACTCAGCTCTCAGACACTTTCGTTTTGTGAAGCTTTTAGTTGATCTGCTCGTTCCCTGACCTTTGGCGAGAATCGCCATGACCTCCGAAGACCACCACCAAATGCAGACCGAGCTCGACATGGTAGCAGCGCGCGGGCGGACGAGTATAGATGTCCATCGTGTGCGAGATGTATTGCACGGTGCGTCCTCTCTAACCTAAGGTGACGGGCCAATCTTGAGCAATGGGTATGGGCTGCTAGGTGGGAAAGAGGGATGGTCGATGCACGCGAAGCTTGTGGAGGTATTGTCGAGGGATCCCGTATTTGACAAGTCCCAGAGGTACATACATATCACTGTCGCGGTGCTGCCGGTACCTTGACACTAAAGGCTTGTCTCTGACGAGCAGGCCCTTCATGTCTCGCACAGATCGTCTTAAACGCGCGCTGAGGATGACGACCCGGCTTTATGAGCTGCAAGATATACACAGCTGGTCCGAGTCAGAGACGGCGCAAGCGGTGACCCTCATGGATGAGGATATGCCCGTTCATTTAGGCTATGCAGGTCCGTATACTACACCTGCAGTCCTAAATTTTAGGTCATTCTGCTCTCGCTAGCGTTCGAAGCGGTATTCAATGCTCAGAGCGGACCTTATCTGCAAGATAGGTATGGCTCCCTAGTGACTAGTAGAGGAATTCAAGGGTAATTATCTCAGGATGCAGATTGTTCGTACTGATATTGATGAGCGTATATGTTACAGATGCTACCTACAAACAGAACTGGGCCACGGTACAGCTGTGACCAGGCTAGAAACCACAGCAACGTATATACCTGAATCACGCGAGTTTGAGATCCACTCCCCTACCCTGACGAGCACCAAGTGGTGGATTGGCGCTCTCGGAAAGACTGCTACCCACGGGATCGTGCAGGCGAAACTAATCCTACCCGGAGGGCAGGACATGGGCCCGCACATGTTTTTTGTGCAGCTCCGATCACTGAGTACGTCCGTCGGGCAGGTATGACGCCGTTGCAAGTTCTCACACGTAGTAGAGGACCACACTCCTCTACCGGGCATCATGGTTGGTGACATCGGTAACATGATTCCTAAGACGAGCTTTGGCACATGGCTGACTGGCACATGTTTACTAGGTCCTAAGGCGATGGGTGGATACGCTGCTGTAGACAATGGTTATGCACGCTTTTCTCATGTGCGGGTACCTCGAGAGCATATGTTTTCAGGATTCTCCCAAGTTACAGACGACGGAAAGTACGTCAAACCCCCTCACGCGAAGATTGGGTATGGTGGAGTCAGTATTTTGTTTGTTCAAAGACTGAGATAATAAATGACGACACCTGCTAGATGCTTTATATCCGCGCTAGGTGAGCATTTCCCTATCTGCCTATGACATACGCGTATACTGACAGGTTTGGCTAGTCTAGTAACCAAGGGCGCATGGGTGATAGCGAAAGGTATTGTACGTACCTTGAGGCAATGCACAAAACTCTAAGGAATTACGCAGCCGCCACTGTTGCCATACGATACTGCACGGTACGCCGACAAGGCGACAGAGACGCAGATGGTAATGAAAAACAAGTCATCTCTTACCCCGCCGTCCATTACAGACTACTACCCATCCTCGGACATGCGTATGTCTTTCTGTTGTTAGGGCGTGATATGGTAGGCTATTTTTCACTTATACTGCGTGATACATGAAGATGCTAAGCTAGTTGACTTTGACAGATGGAGCGCGTCGCCGCCATGAACGCTCGCCTCGCCAATGGAGACATCTCCCTGCTTTCGGAGATGCATATCGCCTCGAGTGCATTCAAGATCCTCGTGTCCACCATGGGCGTGCAGGATGTGGAAACTGCTCGACGTGTCATGGGCGGACATGGATTCAGCGCATTCGCAGGCGTCGGGCGGTACTACGCGGATTGGTTGCCGAGTGTCACGTATGCCATTTCTCCTAGCTGATTCTACATCGGAAGACCTGACCAGAACTTCTCGCCATCTATAGATACGAGGGAGACAACTATGTCTTGGATCTCCAGGTTGTGCGTGCTGCACTGAAGGCATATAAAAGCCTTCATTCATCACCTCGGGGATCGTTGTCCGAGTCGGCCGCCTACCTGCGTCATCTATTGCCCGAATATGCAGATGCCAGAGCGGCGGAGACTAATTGGAGAGACTACAAATCGTTGGTCATCCTTCTCGAGAGACGCGCAGCTGTAATGATGCGCAATCGTGCTGACAACGAGGGCGACACCGACCTAAGTATGGACCACCGTGTCTCGATGGCTGCGGCGGAGGCATGTCTCGGTGCATGGATCGGCAAGCGTATCAGTAACCTCTCAGCTGCGCTCTCCGAGCCCGAGGTCGCCATCGTAGCCACATTGCTCAGGCTGGTACGTCCACTTTCCTCTCGTTGTGAGCGATACTGAGCCCATATATACGGTAGGTTTGCTGACGCTGGTCGAGAGTGGGTTGGCAGACGTTCTGTCATTTGGGCTGCTACCATATCCCGCGCCGAATAGAGATGCTGCGCGGGGTCTCCGTGCGGAGATCAAATACACGTGTTCAGAACTGTTGCCAGAAGCGATTGGCTTGAGTGATGCATTTGGGTTCACTGATTGGGAGCTGGACAGGTACGTGCAAGTGACAGATCACGCTCGCGTTACGAGGGGCTCATCGGTGTGGTCATAGTGCGCTTGGTGTTCACGATGGGAATGTATATGGGCAACTGTGGGCGAGGGTGCAGAAGGAGCCGCTTAACGCCACAGATGTCGTAGAGGGGTACGCAGTGAGTATTTTAGTTGCTCGCGGATGTAGCCGTAGGGTTAAGACGCCTCGTGTAGGAATACATAAAGCCCCTGTTGGAACGCGGTCAACGAATCGTGGCATCGCAGGGAGCAAAGTTGTAGACAACGTGGTCGTATATACCTGCGAAATATCTGAATCGGGAAGCTTCTGCTGCAACAATGTGCCACAGAAGACACAAACGGGTCCATATAAGTACAATGCGAACGGTTGGAGTTGTTCATTCGTCGTCGTCACCGTCGTCCTGGTCAGCCTCTTCGTCATCAGCCTCACTAGCATCTTCCCCATCTTCCTCCCCTTCCTCTTCTTCCTCTTCTGACACTACTCTTCGTGACGTCTTGGAAACAGGAGCCTTTCCTTTTGGGGGAGGAGGCTGGATTTTCTTCTGCTTTGAGCTCGAACTCGGGCTCGGGGCAGTGCGACGTGCAGGCTCCTTCCTGCTTTTCTTCTTTGGACGTTCTTCCTCTTCCTCTTCATCATCATCGTCCTGCTGGAACCCTTCCACCTTAGTGTAATCTATACGGATTCCACGGGTCCTCCGCCCACCCGTGATGATATTTCGCTTGTCGAGGAAGCCGAGCTCATCTAAGGAAGAAACGCGACTTAGAGTCTGCTGAAAGCATCGCGAGATATAAAATGCATACCATCTTCGACCGCTGCATCAGAGTCATCTCCCTCTTCTTCCGAGTCGGCCTGGCGTTTCGTCCTGCAGCAAACTCATGAAGTACGTTGCCTAGAACCGGATGCGAGAGAGACTCACGTTTTCCGAGTCGCTTTTTTTGGCTCGTCCTGGTCGGCACGACGCTTGCTGCGCGACGACATTGCAGATGAGATAACGATCGAAAGAGGCAAGACGAAGTGCGAGAGGCGAGCCTGCTCACGGTGTGGGGAAGCGTACGTAATCAGCGCCTACCGAGATCTGTGCCTATTCGAGAGTGATCGATCAAATTGGATCCGTAAACGGAGTTAGCGATCGCACAACCGGCGATTTTAACCTCGATTTTCTGCGATAACCTCGCCTTCCTCTTGTTTCTTGCTTTCTCCCTCTATGGCTGCAGTCGAAGACGTGAAGATTGAAGCTGAGGTCTTAACATCCGCTCTGGAGTCCTCAATCAAGGGAGATGGCATTGCAAAACCTAGGGCCGAGAGCAACTTGGATAGCGAGGAGAAGTTTGAAATCAAGTCAGAAGACAGCGTAACGAGCGACAATGACAAGGAAAAGATGCTAGCAGGCATGCGACAATGTATGCGCTCTTCCGCTTTTCATCCCATCAATACGTCTAACGCGATTTCAGTCGAATTCTACTTCGCTGACTCGAATCTTCCGTACGACAAGCAAGTAGCCCACTGCGCAGTTCCTTTACTTGTCTCTAATCCTACCGTATTAGGTTTATGTGGACACTACACACCGCCAACCCCGAGCACTGGGTTCCTATTGCTACTGTCTCGTCCTTCAAGCGCATGCGCGAGTACCAGTCGCTCGGCCCAGAATGGATCACGAACGCGCTTCGCATGAGCGAGGATCTCGAAATAAATGCCGAGGGCACTCATGTGCGCCGACGGACGGAGGTGAAGGAGCCAAAAGGGCAGTTTGAACGGAGCATATATGCGGTATGACATCGTTGCGACTTGTCTGTGCGCTAGACTCAGTTTGAGCGACAGAAAGGATTCGGCGACGAGGTTGATGGGCTGCAGAAGGAGCTAGAAGTCTTCTTCGGAAACTACGGCAAGACGAATGCCGTGCGCATGCGGAGGATAGACGGCACGAAGGAGTTCAAGGTGAGTCTCCCCCGTCTGCCCTCTCGATACCCCCTACTTACAGTGATTTACAGGGCTCTGTGTTCGTCGAATTCGCTGACTACAAGTCCGTAGAGGCGTTTCTCAGTGCGGATCCAAAGCCTTCATGGAAAGGCGAGGAGCTTCTCGTCATGACAAAGTACGTTTCTCCTCTCCCTCACGCCCACTCCCCTTACACGAGTTGTAGGGAGGCTTACTGTGACATGAAAATCAAAGAAAAGGGCCTTACTGGCAGGGCTGCCGTCATCCGAAAGCAGACTCTCTCCGGCCCCGGGCGCAAGGGGTTCAATGCGTTCAGGGAGATGGACAAGAGCGGTAACAGGGGCAAAGACAAGACCAAGGGCAAGGAGGGAGCGGACAAGGGCAAGCCCGACGTCTTCATCGAGTTCATGGGAAGCAAAGTACGCGTGCACGAAGATGAGGACGGGGGGAGCGTAAAGGAGGAGGATGTCCCCACCGTAAGGGGTGCGACGCTGAGGTTCGAGGGCAGCTGCGAGGACGTCAGCTTCGACGAGATCAAGGTGCGACTCGTGTCGCTATTGCTAGGAGCGACTCGCCGAAACTGAATATGCACGCAGGGCACGCTCAAGGAGCGCTTCGCGCGCGTTCCGTACGTCAAGTACACTCGCGGTGAGCCGTCGGGGCTCTTGGGATTCGACAAGACCCTAGCAGAAGACGAGATTGCATATGTCAAGGAGCACCTCAAGACGCTTAGCGGAAAGGAAGTTGCGTGGAGTGTTCCAGATGGTAAGCACGCTGCCAGATGAGCCTGTTGTGGAACTTAACAGTTGTTGTGTAGAGGAGACCGAGCGATCATTCCAGCTCGAGCGCGCGCAATCCGCCGCAAAGCGCGCAGTCACATTCACGCAACGAGGCGGGGGACGAGGGCGTGGGGGTCGTGGAGGCCGTGGAGGGCGTGGGGGCCGTGGAGGTCGAGGGGGTCGTGGTGGGCGTGGAAGCGGGAGAGGGGGCC